TGAGAAAATGTAACCTCACGGTTATTGTGACCAAAATTACCACGGTTTTCGGTATTATCGCGGTATTTTTTTAAACGTGTTACATTTTCAGACAATTAAATAAACCCTGTATGTCAGGAAACATTATCCTCAATTTGTGTCTAAGTGTAGCCTAAAATGTGTTATTTTGTAATTATGTTGTTTATTTGTTTACATTTTTTCCCTTTAGTCTTTAAAATACCAATATTTGCCCATAACTTCTTATTTTATGTCTGTTTGATGTCATCATTTTAAAAAGTATTAGATCAGATGATACTCAGTACTCAAGTAGCCTTCTAATCAGATACTTTTTTACCCTTACTTGAGTAATAAACCCTATATCAGGAAAATATTGTCCTCGGTTTGTGTCCTTCCAGTGAGCTTTGCAGATGTGGGAAAATGTCATCAGGCAGTAATCGTTGTTAAATTCATAATTATTCTCGGAGAGAGACCAACTCTTAACGGCCCCTGGGAGCCCCGTAATGCATAGCGTCATTTCAACATGGCGGTGTCCGCGACACGGTTTATAGGCAGGTAGCGGCGCTGCGGCTGCTTTATATAGCGACTCGTTGCATTCTCCCTCAACCCAAATCCTCGGATCACGCATTTTAGCTAAAATGCTAACGTTAGCTTGCCTTGCGTTGACTGTAGTTGTGGGTGATGGTCACGCAGATGTGTCATGAGATTTGAAGCGTTGCTGCCTTTCACAGACACTTTTTCTGCTCGTGCTGCAAACAGGATAGCCGTCTTCTATCAGATGTCCCTCGGCATTCTTCAAATATCCAAAAGATGCCCGTACTTCCCACTTTGTCTTCTTTGAGGGATAATAAATGTCCCGAGCGCTGCCGTCTCCTCCTTTGGCCATTATTTCAGCTTTAGCTTAAAGAGAGTTTTGGTTGTAAACAACAAAGTGCGCATGTGCCGCCGGCAACTTCAGCAGATGATACGGTGGCTGGTAAGGGTCACCGCGCCTACACCGCAGCCACGGTAACCCACCGAGATAATATAGTTTTTAAAAAGAAGACGGTTATTATTATTGTCAACTTTTTTACCGGGGTTTACCACTACACTGGTTACCGTGACAACCCTGGGAGTGATCAAAGCTGCTGGAGGTCCGCTGAAATATTAGACCATTTTTTTGGGTGACAACTGTTTTATTGTAGACCTTGAACAATGTGTAGCATCCAGATTATATTGTGGATGGCTCAGATTAAAGATTAAAACAATTGATTGTTAGTCTTCACACATGCAGCTGAACAAAATGTTGACTGAAAACAAATTTTAGGTTATTATCTGTAATATTTTACCAAATGAAGCAAATTTGTATGTTTTCATAGGTTGGTTGGATGAGGGTGATTTCTTAAGTGGGCTTTAATTGTAGATGAATTGATTTCTGAGTTTCATTCAGTGGTTTATGACACCTTTGCAAAGACTAAACGGGTAAAAAACGTCATCGCCCACCTTCTGATTTTAAGCACAGACCCGTATATGACATGCAAAGGTTGCAGGTTCAATCCTGGCTCCCACTAGACTGCTGTTGTGTCCTTGGGTAAAACACGTAACCCGCCTTGCCTGCTGGTGGTGGTCGGAGGGACCGGTGGCGCCTGTATTCAGCAGCCTCGCCTCTGTCAGCGCGTCCCAGGGCAGCTGTGGCTACATCGTAGCTCGTCCCCAGCAGCGTGTGAATTGTGTTGTGAAGCGCCTTTTCGGGGGGGGGGGGGGGGGGGGGTAGTAAATAAAAATGGTAAGTGGCCTGTATTTGTATAGTGCCTTCGTGGGGTTCTACCCCCCCTCCCCCCACCCCACCCCACCCCCACCCAAGCAGTGCTCACACAAAGGGAATCCCCTAATCGATATCTGTTATTATCTAAAAGACAAATATTTCTGGATCATTAATTTCAGTTTTTCAGTATTTTGCTGTTTTTCTAATTAAAGATAAAAGTTGACTTCTTTAATATTTAATTAAATTATTTTAAATGTTGTGTACCATAAGTGTGCATTCCTGCAGGTGAGTTTTTTGTCTTTTGCTTTGTTTTGTTTCTGTTAGGGGGCGCTGTAGAAACATGAACTCCCAGGTGAATGTACCATGCAGGAGACGGCTTCTGCAGCATTATTTTACTGAGACAGATGGATTAAGTCTACTAAGCGTATGACAGCCCACACACCCAGTAGGGCAAGAAAAAAAAAGAAAAAAGCTGCAGCGTTTAAATAAATGTTGGCTTTACCTCCCTCCACTCCCTGTTATTTATACACTAGAGTTAACATTTCTATTAGTCATGAATTATGCGAGCAAATGATTATGGCTGCTACGATCATTATGAATGCCATCCTTTTGCTCTTTGCAGAAGCTATATTCCCCCAGTTGTAGATTATAGATGCCAGCAGACCAGAAAATGGATCGGATAGCTAATTTGGCTGTTTGCGCTCCAGTTTTAGCAAAGCCACCTTCTAATCAAATTATTGCTTTTGAAGGAATTTAGAGACCTGAAACTCAACCCTCTGGGTATATTTAAACTGTTTCAGTCTTTAATAAAACAAGAAATATAGTTCTTTTAGTTTTTTCCCAGCCTGAGGCTCTTTAACCTCGGCTCATTTGCTGTGATGATGTAAAATAAGATACCCATGTTGCTTAATTGCAATCCAGCCCAAGCTGATTTAAGAACCAGAGCTTCAGTGAACCGGGCCGTCAGACACCAGGGTTTTGTTGGGGGGTTTTTGGCTAAAATTTGGAGAAGAAAATGTTGGTTTATGTGTTTCTTCCATCCTCCTGTACTGATATTTAGCTAATATTCCTAAAAAAACACAAACATTTACCTCTTCACTGTTTTGTAGTCATAACAGTGAATTGTGCCGGGATTAATCCCATCACACCACCACATCCATCATCAGCTCACATCATCAATCAATCAGCAGGAATTACCCGTACAATTCCCTGCCTAATCCTCCCAGTGGCTCCAGTCATCCAGTCAAACTGATTTATTCTCCTCCTCCAGGAGATGTCTTGATAAATCCGGGCTCAGAGAGCACCGGAGAAAACGGCTCGAGTCAAGGTTACAAGATTTTCAGATTTCATGCAACAATACCGTGTCTACAAACTTTCACTGCTAAGTTTAGATTGTACTAGAAAATGTGTTGCAGGGGCCGACTCGAGTGCGTTTTTAAACATTTTAAATATTGGATATCATCTTGCATTGTCCTCTATAAAACAGACTAAAGCTATCTTTTTATTGTTTTTGAGATGAGTCCCTTGCAGACGATTGTCACAAAATCACTTGTGGGTGGATTAGGATTAATACCTTCATCATAAACCTGCCATATTCAGTCCTTTACATGTCTACTGCCCTCTAGTGGAGCATCTACATTCTAAAAGGGCCAATTTGACTTTTTATGTGTCACATCCATATGTAACTGGTAAGGACTGAGGTCACATTGATCCACAGTTTGAAAGCAACACCCATTTATTTAATATATGACCAAAAATCACATTTGGTATCTAAACATTCAACAAAAACCATCGTTTCAGGGACTTTGCATGTTAGTTTGTGTATCTGTGGGTGTGCTGGATTCCCTCCATGGGCCCAAAAAGACAAACAAGGTTAATCAGTTATTCTGAAATGGACCTAAGAGTGAGTCAGCGATGTTTTGTCTCTTGAGTTTCCGTCTTGGCTCCTGAGGCTCCCCTCTTTCCCCGCAGTAGCATCTGGGATCAGGCGCAGCCTCCCAGGAAAGTTAAACAGGATAAACCGGGCATGAAAAACAACAACAAGGAAACAGACCAACACTGAAATGAGTAAAAATAAGTGTGAACATTTTTAAAGCATGAAAACACTCACAGCTTGAAATCTCATTTCACAGGTTATAAAGAAGGAGATTCTTTGTGTTTTCGAGCTCCCAGAAACCTTGATCTCTGCTGTTCCAGAGCGTTTAGGAGAAAGTGTGAAAAACAGCTTTGTGGAATGTTTAAAATGGATGAGTTTTCTTATTCTCAGATCCCATCCTGCTCAGCTTTTGGTATTTCTGCTTTTCACGCATTTCCATCCATCTTTTGTCTCAACTGTTTGAGTTTTTCATGGAATTCAAGCATTTTTCATGTTCTTTTAACTATTTCAGCCAAATTAAATGAGCGTGATGGCAATCTCATGTCTTTAAAACACTGTCGTATGAAGCATTGGGATGATTAAAGTCTTTGTAATGCAGCTACCCAATAAGGAGGGAGAGCAGGTTGTGATGGGAGGATTGTGGAATCGACTCCTGCCACGGGGATTCTGCTGTTTTGACCTTGGGCACGACACTTCACCCAGCGCTGCTGTGCTGGTGGTGGTCAGAGGGGCTGATGGCACAAAACTGCAGCCTGACTTAGTCAGACTGCCCCAGGGCATCAGCTGTGGCTACATAGTAGCTTACCATCACCGGCAGCTTGAAATGTGAGAGTGCATAAATAAAGAAAAGTGCTTTATACATCCAGTCCGTTACTTGTTATATAAAGATGTCATTCTTTCTCATTAAGTGCTTTTCAAATGAAAATTTTAAACTTTCTGTAGATGTCTGTTAGGGATTTTATCAATACGTTTATCAATAAACCCATTTCCTGTATTGAAGAGAGAAGGAGCCAATGAGCAGACAAGTCCACCAGTTATAACTGCGGCACATGCACGAGGCAAAATGCCCCGAACATCTGATCACAGAGGTTATTTAAACAAATACATAAGAAGGGGAGTGAGGTCATTGTGTGTGTGTGTGTGTGTGTGTGTGTGTGTGTGTGTGTGTGTGTGTGTGTGTGTGTGTGTGTGTGTGTGTGTGTGTGTGTGTGTGTGTGTGTGTGTGTGTGTGTGTGTGTGTGTGTGTGTGAGAATGCTTCAGGACATTTGTTTACAGGATTAAAGCAATGAAATATAAAATTTCCATAACAACGTCCCTAAGTTTAACACCACTGGTGCTCGTACTCATCGGTATTTCTCTCTCTGCATGCTTGTGCTCTCCAGACACTCCCAACTACAACCTACGAGTTGGAGATTGTGGCCAAGGACATGTCAGGAAGCGAGGTGGGCCTTACAGGAACAGCGACGGCCACCATTACCATTACAGATAAGAACGACCATGCCCCCGAGTTCACACATCCGCTGGTAAGAAACATCAACTCAACTCTCCCCGAATGTTGTAGCTTCGTGTAAATCCCCTTGTCCTTCTCATTCAGCTTTGTGTGAGAAAACGGTTTGTTTACCCCTCCAGGGAGGGAAAAGGTCAGAGTGACTTTGGGCTACTGGAAATGCTGCATTCATTCAAGGACACATCAACAGAGCAAAAAGCACATTTAAATCGATGCCTTCTGGTAACAAGAGCTTCTAACAGTTAATTGGATTGTTGTGGCTCACTGAGGTGTGAGGACTCAAATGTTTGACTGTATGTAATTCGCTTTATGAGTAAAATAATTCAGTTTGATTAACTGAATGTATATTGAGTAACTTGACACCTACCCCTACCTCTGTTTCTGAAGCATTAAAGTGCTTTTAATCTGAAAATCTTTGAGCATAAAAATATATTTTGACCTTTAATATTGAGTTCCCTCCTCAACGTGCTTCAACCGTGCCACCCTTCATAAGTTAGCATGCTACATTTCATTGACTGGAGCTGTAAAGCATCTAAATATGATGTGTATGGACAAAGGATCAAAGGTCAAATTTGAAATCTTGTTTCTCTGCAGTCGTAAACAAAAGCTCTTTGTTTATTGCTCCATCTTACTTTCATGTTTCGTTTTACCAAAAACATGAAGACCCCAAACATCAGCTCATCTTCAGTAGAGGAGGGAATGGATGAAGATAGTATTTGTAGTTTAGACACTTTTTTATTAGGAAGAGGATCCGTTTTGTGTTCTGTTCAGATTTCCAGACATGTTTCTCAAAGTATTTGTCTTTTATCTCCTGTCCACAACTTTAAATTATAGTCCATTATAGTCCATGTCCCCTGTGTGAAGGCAGAGCTTGTTTTCCCTCTGTTTTCTTTGGGAATGTTAATAAATTCCTCAGGAAAGTTCAGATATCTGTGTATCTGTTTCACATGGTTACTGGTGAGTCTGGCTTCTTCTTTTACTCACCAGTCAGTGTAAAGTTCCAAATGTCATTTAGTAAAACACGGCAACTCATCCGATGACCTGATGCAGAACATGGCACATCTGCCTTCCTTTAGTTCAGGGGAGTCAAACTCTAATTCACACGGGGCCGAAAAGAAACTCTGGGAGGAAGTTGCGGGCCAAACTTAATATTTTTTGAAAAAGTGACGGCAAATTTGTACATTTTCTTTATGAAAATGTACAAATTTGGAAACTAACTTATTTCTGCATTAACACTGAATGTGGAATAAGCAAATTACACACGAGCAAGTCAGTTTTAAATAAAAGGCATCAGTGGTATTCATTACTTGTGGTATATTCAGCATTTTATAAATCTATTCAGGATTTATGTTTTCTTGTTTATTCATTTTTCTTATTTTTTATTCTCCTTTTTTCTCCTGTAATACGTGTCATCGCTGCTGTGACGTCTAGCTTTCCCCACTGAGGAACAATAAAGGGATTTTCTATTCTATTCATCTATCTGCAGCCTTTCCACTTCCTGTTTACTGTAGGTTAAATCTTTTCTCACGGGCCAACAACAAAATAAAATATCATTTTATCTTAAATGAAAATGCAACATCTCACCTGTTAACTTTCATGTTTTGGAGCAGAAAAAGAGCAGAAAACCAACATATTTAAAGCTCAGTTTGCTCCACTGGTTTACTGTGATGCTCACCTGTTCCAGCCAGATACCTGCATCATGGGGTTGATCTGAGCTGAGGAGGAGACTCCTGTTGTTTTGTTCATCTTCATCATAATAATGACAACATTAGATGACAAGGTGCTCACATAGGTTTGTGCTGATGAACATGTCTGAGCAGCTTGACCACGTTGTTGTGTGTCGGGGAGGAAACACGACGACAGCCACAGAGTCGTGCTGGTTTGAGCGTGTCGCTGCTCGCTGGAGTTATATCGGCTCTGTCTGGACGTTAGTTGGAAAACTTTCTCTTTCAGTCGTGAACACATTACTGAGCGGCTAGAATCTCCGTTTCTGGGCTTCAACGTCGGAAAATAGCTGAGTGAACTCGGCGCTGAGTGAGAGGAGTGTTTAGTTTAGCGAGCTGCAGACACCGGCAGCAGACGCTGCAAAAAACACAAAGGGGGTTTAATATTTTCGGCGTCTGCTTGACCAATCCCGGTGGCTGCCTGGTGGGGTCTGGGCCCCTGGGCTCTGTTGGGTCCCCTGCAGGGGTGGTCGCCCCTGGGTCCCGGGTCGCTGGGTTCCGGGCTCGGCCGGCTAGGGGGTGGGAGGCTATGGGCGGGCCTGTGGGCTTGCCGCTGATATCTCCCGCGACTCTGCCGGCTGCTGGTTGTGGCCCCCCGAGGGGGGCAGGGGCTTTTCTGGTCGCAGTCTCCCTGGGGTCCCTGCGATCTGGGGCAGCTTCTGGATCTCTGGGACTTGGAGCTCCCTCCATCTCCTGCACATCTTTGGGGGGCAGATATGTGGCCCCTCACACTCTCTGTTGGACGCTCCTGTAGAGAAACCTTACATAAACAAGCGTGTGTACGCATACAGGTGCTCACATGGTGCTCTCATAAGTATGGACTTGGGCACGTTCAACACACGTCTTAAAGCTGTGGTTGGCACTAAAAGCACTGTGATTTATTATCGTGATTGTTCAGTTAAACAATGTTGATTTCATATGTCCTCATCAGGTTGATGCAGTGATAGTTTGCTCCTGTTGTATTGTTGTGTGTCCCTTTTCTGCAGGTCTAGAAGCAGACTCTTGTTCATCATTGATTGTTTGTTTTTGTGGAACCCCTCCCCCCCTCCTTTTGTCACTTCCTTTCTCTTTCACCTCTGTCTCCATGTCCGGTCAGAATTACATGATACGTGATATTAAAGCAGGCGCTTTGATGCTCCACGTGAGAGTAAATCTGCAAGGCTTGTTACCAGCATTCAGACATTAGATCTGTTTGCTTCACAGCCAGACAGGACACACAAAAAATGTTTAAATAAAAAATTAATAAATAAATAAATAACACAAAGGAGGGGGTGCTTCGGCTCCGCGCTAATGCCGCAAAGCATCATGGGAGTTGCAGTCTTTGCAGTAAAATCGGCCAGCGGGTCAGTTTTAATATATTTTTGATATTTATCTCGCGGGCCACATAACAATTCTACCAAGGATGGGACGGCATCTGGAACAGGACCGTAGTCCGCTGCGTCATGGCTAATGTGTCATGTTATGGTTAAAAAACAGCTTAGTTTGTCCCTTAAATAACAAAATAACAATGAATACACATCATTTGTATATTATTTGGTCCATTCTTGATCACAATTGGTAAAATGTCATAATTTCCCGCTGTTACTTCCTTTTTCATTAAAACAGCTATTCAAGGCAATGCTGCTTTTATTTTGATAGTGGGTTAGCTAATTAGGGTATGAGGGATTGTGAAGAGTCTGAAATAAAACCCAAATAGCCTCCATACAGCATCTTTTACAGGTTACACACAATCATTTACAAAAACACACAACTTCATCTTCCTTTATATGTATTTCTGATATACATACAACAGTTTTCTCTTCTGCCGTTCGGAGTATAACGGTTTGCAACACAATGCATCATGGGAAACTTTGCTGTCCCACTTCCACAGAAAGATACATTGATATGTCTTCGATACTATGGGTAGAGCAGGAACAATCTGGGAACTTTCCATCTTATGAACATGGGATTGGAACAGTACTTGGGCCATTGCTAGACACAGTCTAGTAGTGCCGATACCCAAGATGGCGCCTGTGACTTTGGCATGCCGTCTACCCCTCTTGCTATGTTTGTTGTTTATTCTGTTCCCGTGCTGTTTCCTGGTGGATTCTAGTCCTATAATAACTTATGATCGGCTCACCCTTTTGAATCTCCGACAGAAGCTAGGATCCATCGATCTCGGCAGCTGCAAGTTTAGGAGAACCTTCATCCCGCTGTTTGCTGCGGTCCCGGCGTGCAGCTCCCTGTCTCCAGTGTGGCTGCAAAGAAAAGTTCATAGACAGGGCAAGCGTGGCAGGTCCCGGGCACGACTCAGGGCCTCTTCTGCGTCCCCGCTTTGGAAATCTGATCCTCTACAGTTTACTGATCACTGATGGCAGAGTCAACTGACCTTCTCTCACATGACTTACCTGCCGGGGGATTCCTGTTCGCGCAGGTCGTCGCATGGATCGTGGCCGGGGCGTCGGCGAAGTGGTGGAAATAACCAGGCCAACCTCAGCTATCCGATGGTGACAGATTCTGTCTCACCCTCCATGACAGCCTGTTCCGAACCCATATCGCTCCTCAGGATTGCTCTTCTGAACGTGCCTTAGGGATTATTTCAGTGACCAAAAGGTAAATCTATTCTGCATGACGGAATCCTGGGTCACACCTGGTGAGTCGGCCGCTCTTTCAGAACTCGGTCCGTCGGATTGTTCAGTGCTAAATGTGCCTCGACTCACCAGCCGTGATGGGGTCTACTAACTATGTTTTGATCTACACTCCACCTGAAACAACTCTCCCCCCCTGTGACTCCTACTAGCTTCGAGATATCAATATTTGAGTCGGATGTTAAACCCCCGGTGCTGTTTGCACTCTGCTACCGCCCACCTAAGTACAACTCAAACTTTTTAAATGAATTCTCTGACTTTCTAGTGGATTTTCTCCCGAAATATGATTGAGGGATTATCTTAGGTGATTTTAATATTCATGTCTGTTGTCCTGCAAAGCCCTTGGTGACAGAATTCTTAGATATGCTGGACTCCTTTGGTCTCCAGCAACTGGTTATAGAGCCTACCCATGATTACTCTCATATTCTGGATTTGGTGTCATCTTTTGGAATTTCTGTTCTGTCAGTGGACCTAGTTTGTTTTTCTGATCATTTTCCAATAATTTTTAATATCAGTGGTTTGACACCTCCCCCTGTAAAGCATCAAGCACGTTGTTTTGTCAGGTGTATTTCCCCTTCTACTACTCCCAGTTGTTATCTGGCCTGGGTGATGGCTTCTCAACCGTTTCGGCCAGGTCTCCCTTCATGGGAGTAGATGAAATGTGG